TAGCATGCTGCCATTTTGGCCTCTAATCGCCATCATCTTTGGCACATATGTCTTGCGAAGCATTTTTATAGTGTTGTATGCTTGCCTGGTATTGCCGACTTTTAGCCCTTTTTCAATTTCTTCACTTCGTTTTTGGACCCATTCTTCTTTGTCTTGCCTTGCCGACTTCTTGACTTGTCTGCATAGGATTTTGTATTTTTCATTATTTTCTGCAGATGTGTGTTTTATTTGTTTTATTTTTCTTTTTTCGTCAGCTAAGTTCAAGGTATACTGGGATATCCAAGGGCTTCTAGCTTTTCTTTTCGAAGCTATTGTTGTAGTTAGGGCATCTCTGATTGCCATCTCAATGTGCGCTGTACTCTGGTCTATATTGCAGTCCGATGGCATGTCCTTAAGGTTTTCTTTTAATTTATTTTGAAAGACCTGTTTTGTTGGAGGTTCTTTCAATTCATTTACATCGTGTATGCTCGTATATTGTGATCTTGTACGTAGTTTCTTGAGTTTGAGCTTAATATTGCACAAGACTAGTGAATGATCGGAGTTTATATCAGCACTTTGGAAAGTCCTACAGTTAAGGATGGATGTTTTCCATCTTTTTTGAATAATCACTAAGTCGATCATATTTTTGTGAAAACCATCAGGTGATGCCCATGTCCATTTACGACAAGCCTTTTGTTAAAATCTTGTGTTACAGATAAAGAGGTTATTTTCTGCTGCGAACTCTAATAATCGTTCACCTCTTTCATTTCGTGTTCCGTAGCCATGCTTTCCCATCACGGACTCCCAGCCTTTGTTATCACTTCCCACTTTAGAATTCCAATCTCCAGTGAGAATGATCACATCTTTTTTGTGTGTAAGAGCTAGGGTCTGCTGGATCGTGTCATAGAAAGTCTCGATTTCTTCTACTGATGACTCCGATGTCGGCGCATACACATGTATAACTGTTATTTTGAATGGGGTTGCATTAAATCTTGCTGTTATTATTCGTGGACTGACCGGCTTGTAACTTAGTAGCGCACACTGCGCTCTCTTGCTGAGTAGCATGCCAACCCCTCTCGTGTGTTTAATATCTTCTCCAGACCAGATAAAGTCACCGCTGGGTGTCTCTCCTTGTCCTGTCCAGCGTACTTCGGAGATGCCAATTATGTCATAAGTGAAACGCTTCATTTCATGCCTTAGGAGCTCCAGCTTCCCTGTTGCCCATAGTGTTTGTACGTTCCATGTACCGATCGTGAATGTTGTTTTTGTTATTTTTAACTTTTGGCTAGCATTTCTTGTTCCAATGTTTGTTCCAGTAGCCAATTTTTCGACTCTGCCCTGGTTCCTCGGCAGAGGACGCGGACCTTGTTCACCCGGGCGTCGTCCGAGCCGGTATAGGTTTTGAAATTGATTATACATGGTTGGTTTCTTTCGTCTTTTTCCTTTTACAGACGGCGGTATCTGCACCCCTTCCGTCTAACACTCCTCCTTTACCCGGACTTGCGATCGATATAGAAATCGCTGGATGGCGACCCCTATGGTGGAGTTACAAGGACGAACGTTACTTATTTATTTTGAAGAAAATAATTCTCTCTGTTAGAATTGTTCAAATCGATTTATCAATATTAAATATTAAATATTAGATTTAGATTTAGATTTAGATATTTCCTATAATATACTTTATATTTTAATCAAATAGGCCGATATATTCACCGATGATAAACAAGTGATAATAGTCATGAAAGAAATTTTGTTCGAAATCATTTTCAAGTGTTTACAACTAACTCAAACAAATAATTTTGATCTGTGACGAATTATGAAAAATAAATATAATAGGTTTGTCAACAAATCTTTCTTATTAATAAGTGAAACTTTTCGAGTAGACTGAGTAATGATAGATATATCTTTAGTATTAACATCAAACCTAACATCACTATTATGGAGAATTAATGGAAATAATTCGACCTTGTTTATTCTTGGTTAACAGAGAAAATCTACTGCAGATTGCAATTCGTAAACGATTACAATCATAGGCGGCGCGCCAGCAATGCAATAGTTAGCAATTGCAATCCCTAAAATAAATTATTTGAATCAATAAGAACTTATTGCTTTCTCTAATTTTTCACGCTTCCTGTATATTCTAGAGTAAAACTGCTTTATTCAACATACATATATTCTATGTGATTCTGTATTTTATGTAAAAAGATCGAATTTTAGTCTCAGAAATTGTTTATTACTATTTTGATGTATCTGTTTTCCACAACATATATCGAGTGCCCCATAATAAATGATCAATTTTTCTATTTCATATTTTAATCTTTAAATACATTTTAAAAAATCACAGAAATTAGCATTAGATGCAGCGTAAAGATCTTCTCAGCTACAAAGGAAAGTTTATTTTAATTGTATAGTTGGTATTTTCAAAACAAATGGAATTCTGCGCAATCAATTTTCGTCGCTGCGCATAACGGTCTCACAAAATTTTGTTTCTTTTCAAAACACAAAGTATACAATTAGAAAAGCTTTACTTTGTACACTGTAGAATTTTTTACGCTGCATCTTGAGGTATATGCGATAAAACCAATTAGATGATAAAAGGATGAAATAAGCAAAAAACATGATTTGCTCATTGGAATAGAAAAATGATCTTTTAAGTACAATATATATTATTCTCACGAAATTTTACTTTTTAGTGTACTCAAAAAGTGAGTACACTACTAGAATCGGTCCGTATGTCCGGCCGGCCGGCCGGCCGTCCGGCCGTTAACACGATAACTTTCGAAAGGAGAGTCCGATCACGATGAAATTTTCTACACAGTTCAGTCTTTACAATATCTCGGTCGAGTTCGAAGATGAGAAGGATCCGTCAAGAAATGGCTGAGTTATCGAAAAAATTGTGATTTTTGACCAGACCATCCCTGAGGGGGGGTACGGGGATTTTTCGAAAAAAAAAATTTTTTGCTCATAATTATTCACAAAATACATAAATCGACTCAGTTTTTAACGCTGATTCTGAGTCTGATATTAGTTTTGAACCGAATCATAGTTTTGTGTACTCAAAAAGTGAGTACACTATATAGAATAGTCAGTGCGTTCGTCTGTCCGGTTGGCTGTTTACATGATAACTTTTGACAGCAGAGTCAGATTGCGATGAAACTTTCTACACAGCTTAGTCTTGACAATATCTCGGTCGAGTTCGTAGATGAGAAGAACCGGCCGAGCCATTCCTGAGTTATTGAAAAAATACCTACTTTTCCCTATAGCCTTCTGTGGAAAAATGGACCCATCGGGACTTTCGTAAAAGACTTTTCCTATCATAGTCAATTAAAATCCCAACTATTATATACCATTCGATAGAGAATTTCAAGAGCTACAAAATGATATATAAAACAGAAAGAAGCAAGAAGACTGACTCATCTATCACAAGGATAATTAAAGAGAACTAGGTTATATTTTGGTCCACGATCTAATTGATCCATAAACAGAGCTGTATCTTCTGATCACATTGATGATACTTCGAGGTTTTCAGAGATGGAGAACTCGAATGTGTACTGCACTTCCATCGAAATACTATTGGTTGTGCAGTGACCAATGGAAATCAAGTTATAGGAAAAACGCCTTTGTTAGGGTAAATCAAGGAAAAGAGTTCAAACTTGAGCTGTATTCGGTCCCATGTCCTATTGGTTTGGCAACGCGCAATAGAAATCAACATTTTAAATGGTAGGTTCCCCAGTATAATTTTGATGTTGAGATATTCTAGGATGACTGATTCGTATGATTCACTTTTTGAAGTACACATAACTTTCGGATTTAAATCCGAAGTTTCCGCATTTATTTTTGAAAACAAAAATTACACAACCAAAATATGTTTTACTTTGGAGATTGTAGATATTTTCATGCTGCACCTTCTGGTGTATTATACTTTTTTAAAGAAAACATATTAAGAGATACACAGATAAAATAAGAGCGAAGAAATAGTTTTTTAACACCTTCGAAAAGTGGTCGTATAGAATTTTGTCTTTTTCAAAATCAAAATTAAACAATCAAAATCAATCTTGCTTTGTGAATTGTAGAGCTTTTCATGCTGCATCTTATGGTATACTCGGTTTTTTTTAATAAAAATTTTTAAAGATTAAAATCTGACATACAAAAACCGGCCATTTATATAGGACACCCGTTTAAACGAGATTTTGAAATTGATATTGATACTATGGGAACTACTTTTCTATCGAAAAAACATAAGAGAAAAAAAATTTTTGAAAATGAACAAAATAATTGTATATCATTCTTGAATAAGAACGTAGTTTTTCCTATTAATAATAAACACTTGTGAACATCTTATAGTGATTGAAGACTAAAATTGAACAAATAAACGTACTCAATTAAAAGTGCATATACGAATTAAAGCGGGTTTAATGCACTACTAGAGGAGTTAATGCTTGAGCTTTGCATACAGTACAATCGACAAGTTCAGTTCTCATGACAACAAATTCTTTGCATCGGACTGAACAAGGGGAAGAAATCGGAGCTTATTTAACAGTTTATTACGACCCCTACAAAATTGACCTTGCGCCGCCCATGATTACAATTATTTGTCTTTGACCGGTGAATATATTAGCCAATTTGATCAAAATATAGCAGAGTGAATAGGAAATTGCATGACGTTCTATTTAGATTTTTTAATGAAAACATTTAATTTATTTTATATCGAAAGAAAATTCTTGTCAAACATAAAAAACAAAATATAAATAAGTGTTATAAGAAGTGAATATTTCAATATTTGATTATTTTATTTATGATAAATAATAAATAAATTCAATAAATTACGGTTTTTTTTTTGTTTATTTATTATTTTTTCGTTTTTAATATTGAAATTCTAATTGAAGAATATATTTAAACATTCGAAATAAAATTTATTCAAATGAATAAGATAATCTATTAATTTAGTTAAAGTAAATGTTAAAACAAAGAAAAATGATGAGTAGTCAGTTATTGTTCAATTTAATTAAATGTATTTTGTATTAATGTTGTGACAAATAAACATCACTTGAATAGGGAGGTAATGAATAAAACATTTTTTCATTTGTTTCATTTCTATATTAAAATAAAAAAATTAAATTAAGAAAGAAAAAAAGAAAACAAAATGTTTTTACATATTATTTTGATGAATTATATTTGTTGGTTGAATATAAAATGATAGAATAAATAATGAAAGAGCATTTATAATTGATATAAATAAAGCAGATAGAGCTATCCACCATGACAATGATAAATAACCTGTATGCGAGGATTTACCTTGTAGAGCAAATAAACAAATTGTTGATGATACAAATATAACTAAGAACAATAACAAGAAAAAATCATCTTTTTATTTTTTTGTTTTTTTATTAAACTAAAATAAAATTCATATGTTAAGAATAAAAACCTGTTATAAACATTGATATAGAAGATCCAAAAAATAATAAACCCATTGATCTTTGAGTTAATCCAGTAAGAAGTAATATTCCAGCTATTATATAAAAAACAAAAGCAACTATTTCTAATGATTGACTTGTTCGAATAAAATCTAGAAATATTTAAAATAAATATATTTATGAATTAAAATATAAATATATACCAGGTGGACCAAGAAATCCCATACTTGTTATATTTGTTGGATAAGATCGAGCATTCCAATCAGAACAACGATCATAACCAATTATCTATTATAAATAAATTCATTTAAATATAAATAAAAACAGCAGAAATAAATAAATAAATCAAACTTGAATATCACATAAATTCCATAAACCAATTTTAACTGGAATTGATGTATAAACAATCCATTCAGGTAAACAAAATGATATTAAATAAAGAACTAATGATAAAAAGTAAGATGATAAAGATATCCAAAGACTTGTTAAACCAATTCTACCAGATACACGAACCAAATTCATTTTTTCTACTATCAACACCTTGAAGTTTCTTTTTTTATTTAAACTTGTTCAAATGAATTCTTTTATTATCACAACGGTCAGGTCAACATCATTCATGCGTTAAACCAACATCAATTTTCTCTTTTCTTTTTTCTTTTTTTTTTCATTTATTTATTGATCTAAACGATTTATTTTATTCATTCTAAACTAATTTTAATTCTTAACAACTTATTTTCAAATGAAATAAAAAAGCAAATAAACAGATTTAATATAGATTTGAAATATTTTATTTTCAAATAAATTTAATAGAAAAAAAAACGAAAAAGTGTTACTTTTATTAAATGATATATAACAAAAAAATTCTTCTTATTATATAAATTATTTTGTCATGCCCGATTGATCATCTAACATTTAAATAAATATTTATTTTCTTATATTATCTATACGATTTGATTATCTATAGATATATATTCATCTATTCAATTAAATTAAATTATATATTGAAATATTTAAAAAGTTTTTTATTTTTAAATGTAATTAACAAAAACCTATTGAAAATTTCTAGTTAGATTTTCGTTGATATATTAAGGAATTAGTATAAGATTATTATTTTTATGATTTTTATTTGTTTATATTTAATTAAAATAATGATAAATAATAAGAATAGATTTATTATAGACAAAAATCTATCTTTTTTCTTTTTCTTTTTCTTTTTCTTATTATATAAATATATCTTGAAATTAATTTTATTTATTATTTATCAATGGTCAATAGTTAATGGTCAATATTTTTCGAAATATTAAAAAAAAAACTGAACAAACTCAAATAATAATAAATGATATCTATATTAAGAATGAAATCTAATTTAATTGTTGTTTATTTTCAAATAAATAAAAGATAATTAAACAAAAAAAAAAAGTAAATTATGTTGATTGTGTTAAGATGATATAATCAAGAGAGAGAATAAAAAAAGAAAAGAAAAGAAATTTGAATTTGTTTATTTAAGTATAAAAAAAAAAAAAGTGAGTAGAATATAAAGTTGATTATGATGAATAGTATCATTATTCTAGTCATAACAAATGTCTATTTATGTTAAATGAATAACTAGTAAGATGATTAATGTTACTTTTTATTGTGAGAATAATAGTAAAGAGTCTCTTATATATTTGACATAATCATCAAGATACTTTAAAAAAGAATCATCATAAAATGAATCTTAGATTGAAGCAACACTCTTAACGACTATTCAAGGATAGACATTTTATTTCTTTTATTATATATAGAGCTCATTACATACACTCTCTTTATTTCATAACATTTCTTTTTTTTTTTTCTTCAACTCTATTTTAATGCTTACATTATACGAGTAACGAATAAGAATAAAAGAAAAAAAAAAGAAAAAAAGAAAAGATAGTTATTGTCATTGTCGATAAGTGATCAGTATATAGATATTGTTCGATACGGTAAGATGAACACACATATATACCTATTGCAAATTGAACTAACTATTTCTATTGGCGTCTTACTCGTTTTTTTTTTTTTTTTTTTTTTTTTTCTTTTAAGGGAGAAAAGAAAAAAGAAAGAAAGATTGATTGTTGTCGTTTAACCGCCGGTTGTCGATGTGTTCAACTTAATAAGAATAACAAAGTAAAGTAATAAGATAGAGTTAGTTATTAGTTCGATTTGTTTTAACGAAAAGTTATTTTTTCTTAGAAGTTATTTAGTAAAATGTTTGATTTTGTTTTGATTAATAATAGCTATGATATAAAAGAAATTTCTTCGTTTTTTTTTTCTCTCTCGTTTTAAATCGCCTCAGTCTAGTTTAAATGAAATGAGTTGATTATATTGTGTTGACAGACATATGCCAGTTGTTCGACATTATCTTAATAAGTCAACGTTTTTTTTTTGTTTTTATAGACTAGAGAATATGTTTATTGTAGAAGAGGACAATTAACATATTCATCATTCAATAGACTCGACACAATACGAATTATTTATCGACAAGCGTTTTCACTAATTGACATCGTCATGAGATATCGACGTTTTTCTTTTCTTCTTTCTCAAATAAAAGACGTCCCTAGTTAGTTTTTTTTTCTTTCTTTTATCTTTAAGATTGATGACGACATTCAATGTTATTCATCTTAATAATAATCGTTCAATTGATCAATGGTATAAAGATCAATAATCAATTTGTTGAAGAACCAGAAGATGTTGAAACAATAATTGGATCAACATTAATTCTTCCTTGTCGAACAGATCCAGTTCATCAAAGTCAAGTTAATTGGTGTAAAAATGATTTTTGCACATTAGGAAAAACCCGAGATTTACCATTTTATCCTCGTTATCAAATAATTGGTCATGCTCATCAAGGTTTTTATCTATATTTTTTTGTTATTTAGTTATTTTAAATAATTCTATTTAATATTTTCTTTTAAACAAAAGGTGAACATCATTTTAAAATAGTTAATGTATCATTAGAAGATATGGGAATGTATCAATGTCAAATATTAGCTGGACCTCGACGAGCTGGTTCAATGTCTCGAAAAGCTAAATTAACTGTTTTACGTATGTTTTATAATTATGTTTAAAAAAAAAAAAGAAAAAATTCTCGTTTAGAAATTCCAACAAGTTTATCAATTGATAGTCCAATTGTTTTATTAGAAAATGTTTTATCATATATTGTATGTCGATCATATAATGGTATGCCTGAAGCAAAACTTTCTTGGCATATTCCAAAATCTTTAAATTATATATCAAAAAATGATTATGCTCTTTTATCTGGTCAATCATTAAGAAATTCAATATCAAATATAACATTAATAGCAAATAGATCTCATCATGGTTTAAGAATTAAATGTCAAGCAGATTCATCAGCTATTCAATTAAATAATAAAACAATGATAACTCAAGAATATATTCAAACGATTTGTAAATTTTTATTTTTATTTTTATTTTTCTTATTGATTATTTTTAAAATATAGTTCGACCTGAAATAAATATTAGTTTAATTGGTGAACAAATCGAAAATAATCTTATATATATTGAATGTAATGTTATTTGTCGACCGAAATTAATTAATATAGAATGGTTTAATGGAAGTTCTTTATTAAATATAACTAGTGATTATCGTTTACCAATATTATTAACAAGATATATGCATAATAATAATATTATTTGTCAAGCAACAAATCAAGTTGGAAAAGAAAATCAATCAATTAAACTTGATATTATTTGTATCGAAATATTATTTTTAGTTAACAATAAATTATTTTTTTTGTTTTATTTTGTTTAATAGATAAACCAATATTTATAGATAAATATGGAAATGAATTAAAAAATATTTCAGTTCTATTAGTTAATGAAGGAGAATCAGTTGAATTGGAATGTTTGCTTGATTCATCTCCATTATCATTAATAAGTTGGATATTTAATGGAGAAATTCTTTCAATTAATAAAACAACATATTATATTGATTATTTTATATCAAATCAACATATTGGTTATTATATATGTTCGGCATATCATTATTTATTTGGAACATTTAATAGAACTATTAGAATTTCATTAAAAGGTTTTATTTATTTATTTTAGAAAACATGAATACATACTATTTTATTTATTTAAAAGGTCCACCAGAAATTATTGAAGAAAAACAAATTGATACTGTTTATATTGGACAATCGGTGACATTTGTTTGTTCAATTTCAAAAGATATTCCTATTCAGGTTAGATGGCTTTTTTTTTTTTATTTAATTTTGAGAGAAAAAAATCTTTTGTTTTTTTTATATTTTGTTAAATTAAAAAGGAAATATATTGGTTACGAGAAGATCAATCAAAACTAAATTCCAATGATAAATATGAAATAAGTGAAAATGAAGATAATGATTTAATTAAATATAAATTATTAATTAAAAATATTTTATTATCTGATAGAGGTTCTTATATATGTAGAGGATTAAATCAATATGGTTCATCTCAAACGATATTTCAATTAAAAGTTAATCATTTAAAACATTTTTTTATTCAACGTCTTTTTTTCTATGGATCAATTATAATTGGATTATTTATTTCTGTTTTTTTTATTATTTTAATATTTATTTATCATTATAAACAAATTCGAAATAAAAGAATAAGAAAAAAATCTTCAACAACAGATGAAACAATATCATCATTAGCTAAACAACAAGATTTTATTCAACATGATTATCATCAAGATAATAATTCAATTATTCATCAATATTTAAATGATCAACAATTTATTGATAATCATACAAATGTAACATATTATCTATATTATTTATCTTCGTTTCTTTTTTTTGAACTATTATTTTCTTTTTTAGGATGTATTAGATTCTTGTCAACATGATTTATTTTATTTAAAAAACAATCAAAAAAGATATTCAACTGTTGTTTAAATTAACAATTTAATTTATAAAGAGATCAATAAAATTATCTTTACTATTTAATAAGAATAATTTAATTCAACTTTTATTCAATTCACTTTCGATAAATAAGTGTCTCATTTTCTTTTTTTATTCTCATTGTTTTATTAATCATATTTCAGTTTTTTTTATCAGTGCTTTTTTTTTTTGTTTTCTAGAAAAGTGAAAATTTCATGTCCCTTTATTATAAATTGACTGTCGATTAAATAAAAAAATAAAAATAAAAAAAACAATATTAATTATGTAAAAAACAATGATTTGAACAATAATTTAAATATAACAACAGATTAGTCAGCAAGATAAATCATTGAACGATAGTCAATAATGAACATATATTCAATCAATGTCTATTGACCATCTATCATATTAGACATAGATATTTATAAGATTAACAAAGATTTTTCTTAAGCGTTTTTAGCCCTATGACCATGCCGGTGCTAAAGGGACAATAGAGCTCAAGAACTGTATGTACTGATAATAAATATAAAAAAAGGAAAAATTTGAGATAATCTAAGACGAAAGCAGAACCTGAAAAAACAAATGAAAACAGAAAAAGAACGAAAAGAAACATTTTCTCTTGCTTTCATCTCCCCTGTATCATTTTCACTCTTCTTTTTTTCTGTCACAGTGACCTAAGAACACTTGCCATTAGAATCAATTATCGAATCCGATGTTCCATGAATTGCCATCTATTTTACTGCTTGATCGAAAACATCCATGTGTACTACAAATCTTTTGGATCTACGTAGCAAGCGAATTTATCTTGCACCATCTTGCCAATTTGACCTGTGTGTGTTTAGTTTTGATTGTTCATATAATAGATATCCATCTCTGACCTTCGACAGCCATTTTAAATATTTTTCCCAGCAGGTATAGCAATGATCATCTAACGGGTGTTGCAAAAGTTCCTGGAAAAAAGTAGAACTATATATTTTCGCCATTCTAAATGCTAGAAGTCTTACTTTTTTTTATTTGAAAGATCTTATCGTCCTCTGCAACAAACGTTTATAATGACAAGTTGAAAAAACGCCATCAGTATACATTTTTCGGAGGTTCTTTCGAACATCGTCCATCATACGTTGTAAAACTGATATATCAGCTTCTTTCAATCTTTTTTTTATCCGATGTTCGAATTGTTTTACGGTATGTGCTTCCCAATTTTGTTTGTATACTAATTGAGCCAAGACACCCCAGAAATCTTCAATAGGACGCCCTTGTAGTATATTAGGTGGATTATTGATTTTCGGTACGATTGGTACAGATATTGATTCCATATAATCTAAAACTTCCTTTGAGTAATGAGCTTTTGCGAGGTCTGGCCAAATTAATATTTCATCGTTGCTATGGTGCTTTTCGATGAATGGAATCAATTTTGACTTAACACATTGATTAAGATAAATATCACCACCAATGGCATTCTTGCTTCGATGAACGTATGGTTCCGAAATACCTTTTGACGAGACAACTAACCACACCATGATTTTTGGTTTATATTTCATTTTATTCTTGTCCTTGATGTCAGGTGGTGCTATAGACTTGTCACTTGTATAATAATATACATTGCCAGGTATATCAACATTGTTCAGTGAGAAATATTTTTCGTCGTCCATGACGACGAAACAATTGTTTGAAATTTGGCGGTACAATTGGCCGCAGTTTCTTTGAGCACATTGCTGTTGATCTTTCGAATATTTCGGTGTTTTTGGACGTTTATATATTCGAACGTTTGTCCTTTTCTTTATAGTTCTTGAAATAGTTGATACAGATACATTATACTGCTTGGCAAGACATCGTTGACTAACATTACTCTTGTTGTCAATTTTTCGAACTAATCCCGCTACTTGTCTGTTGCTTAATTTGACTGGTCTGCCACTTCGAGGCAGATCTTTCGTCGTTTTGTATTTCTTATATCATTGTATTGTAGAATATATGGTACTGCTCTTCATACCTTGGTTCAAAAAGAACTTGACAGTTGTTTTAAGATTGCCACCTGCAGCATCGTTATAAAAATTTACAATGCATTTTCGAGTGTCTTCTCTCTCTTGGTTTTTCATTTTATCTAAAAGTAAAGTCAAGCTCATTCAGTTCGTGCTTTTTGTAGAGAAGGGTAAGATCTTTCGAACAAAAAAAGATTAACACTTCTAAGCTTTAGAATGGCGGAGATATATAGTTTGACTTTTTTCCAGGAACTTTTGCAACACCCGTTAGTTGTTTTTCGTTATCTATTGACGAAAACACGAGACCCTCCCAGCATTCGCAACGATAAATACGTTTCAAAAGTGTGAAATATAGATGGTTAAGATCAGCACACAGTGAGTCTGTGAATAATGGATAAAGTCCAAATAGCCACATGAGATATGGTAGGATGAATGTAGAAAAGGGTATGCGACATACTTGCGTAGAGGAAGTACTACTGATTCCGAACGAATTTACCAGTACTGTTCTTTGACGGACGGTTATTTGGGTCTTCCGATAGCATTTTCCAGACCGAATTTGGTCGTGAGCCAATATCCTAAGTACTTGAAAGACGAGATCCATTCTACCGAGTGATTACTGCAGCGAGCCTGATGCATCGGATTTGGATATCTCACAGCTCTTGCGGAGAACATCGCTTAAGTTTTCGAGTAGTTGATCGCTTGTACTGTTAATATTGAGTAGTATTCAAGTGGATCCAAGAACGTTTGTAGCCGACTTTCGAGATCTACACATTGATCCGTAAACCGAATTCCTATTTGCTCTACCAGTGCTGCTGCAAGATCATCTGCAAAGAAGAATGAAATTGCTCTCGGTAGAAAGACAGCCATATCACTATGGTATGTAATGAATAACGTCGATGTTAAACTGGCGCCTGGAGGTCCAACTCAGTTTATCTTGATCTATCTTGATTTTTTATCATGCACCTCGATAATTGCTTTATATTCACTAAGCCATGCTCGAATCCATTTCACGTTAGCCCACATAGAGGTGTTAGCCGATCATTTGATCGGTGATGGCGGCGGAAAGCTCTCGCCGCGGAGGCCGTTTTCGACGGCGGTAGCGACGACAAAATTTTTCCTATGTTATGTCACAGGGTCTTTCGTAGGTTCCTACCGTTAAGACAAACATTAGACGTTCTGTTCTCTTCTTAGTACGCTCATGCCTTTTTATGCAAAAATTTTTCTACTAGATGTAACTTTTTTTTATTAATTCAAAAAATTCACACTCTTCCATCATAAAATAACTTTAAACTACACAATAATAATTCATGATATAAGCCAAAATGGCAATAATGTGACTATCCATCTAAAATACAAATTAAATTCAAACATGATAGCTTAGGACTAGTACTGTATCTTTACTTTACCAGATAAGGCAAAGTACCTAAACTTTACTTTACCCGGTAAAGTCAAGTGAACATATTTTACCTAAAAAGTAAAGTAAAGAAAAAGATGAAGTTGTATGTTTTAAATTTTTTGGCAATTTCTTAGTACAGAGTCATGTATAAATAATCTTAGATCGTATCAAAGTTTATTCAATATCGTTTCGTCTTAAAATTAGTGTGAAAAGAAAATAAGTAAAGCCGAAAAATGTCGATTTTTTATGAATACATGAAAAATATTGTTTGGTTAACTTTATCTTACTTTATTTTCCGCATTCAAACTATAGTATTTTACTTTAGTCTACTTTACTTTACTTTTTCAAAATGAAATAAAGATAATGTACCACCCCTATGGTAGCTCGAATTGGATCATAAGTGAAACTAACATTGAAATTAGAATTCGAATCCAAATTCAAATCGATACTTTCCTATGAGTTGAGAAAAAGAGCAAGATTTGTTTTTATTGATTATTCGAATTGAAATTACAACTATATATTTTTTTCGTTTTTCTAAACTGGCAGAAGAGTGTCGATTGGAATTCGAATCGCAATGTTAGTTACATTTATATTCGAACTCAAGCTAGATAGTTAGTCGAAACTGCATACTGAATAAGTCAAAAATTGCGAAACGGAGAAAATAATAGCGATGAATCTTTTGTGCATGAAAGAACAAGGCAAATGAGAATCTAATAAATTTGGTAGCGTCACAAAATCACAAGAAGACATATCTGATTATCAGCTCGGTTTTCAGACCATATGTCATTCAACAAAAAAAAATAGACCCCTTTCTATTTTTTAAAAGTTCTTTTGGTTTCAGGAATCTCTAATTGTCCCATAGATCAAACTTGAGATATTACTGATTATTATCAATAAGTAATAGTTTAGAAAAAGAGAAAGCGTGAACTGTGACCTTTCACTCGATCGGCGGCTAACACTTTTACGGCTAGCGGGATTCTCGTTTTAGTAAGCTTACCAAAACATCTATCGAACCACATCGATAAGTAGTAGCACATCGTGTTTGTAATCTATATTCAGCACCAAAACCCGATTGATTATCTGGTAGAACAGCTATATCTTTTAACACTTGCACAAAACGGTTGAGGAACAATCTTTCTTGTATTTTCAGAAACGAATCGAACAGTGAGATAGGTCTTGTTTGATTTGGTGCACATATAGCATCTTTCTTAGCGATTAATATCATTCTTACTTCTTTAAATTTCTTCAAGATGTAGTCTTCAGAAAATGAATATTTATACAACTACACCAGGAGATGCCAGTAGTTTCGAGGTATTTTATCAAGTATATATGGTGATAGTCCATAAATATCTAGCGATTGATTTTTCTTACGTGTTCATAGTGTATTAACTATTTCTGGATACGTAACCAATGGTATTGGTTCTAACGCTTTTTCCCATTGAACAGGCCGAGTGTCGACATATGGATGTGAACGTATCATGACAGGAGTCTCGAATAACTTTTCATAGTGATCGGCAGCTGTGTTAGCCATTACTTGTGCATTCTTTACAATTTCACCATTCGATGTCGGAAACCCCCATTAGTGCTGAAGACACATGACTGAAGTGTCTTGTTGTTTTAATCCAAAATACCGTAGAGCC